TTGGTACTTCTTCGTATTTCTCGATACTTCTCTGTATTTCTCAGTACTTCAGAAGTACAAAAGTCTACTTTTTCTCCCTTGTATAATTGATATCTATGATAATATATCGATCTTTACTAATTAAATAAACTGAATTTAAGTAAATAAATACTTATAAGAGTCAATTAGATTTGGTTTTCTTTGTGTATTTCTATGTTTCTCATTTCATCCTCATTTAAAAAAAAACAAATCTAAATGCGTAAGTGTCGAGACAATAATATATGTATCGAAAATGTCGTGCCAGAGAAAATATTGATTTATGTTTAATTAAGTGAATATTTTTTAATTATTTTTCTTAATATATCATTAATATATATATTTCTAGTGAAAAGATAAAAAAAAAAAAAAGAAAGGTATTATAAAACGTATTTGTTTGTTAATAGAGAAAGAGCATGTCATTTTAATATACAAGATTATGAAAAATTTGGAGAATGTATTTGTAAATCATTAAAACAATATTTAGATATTTTACATGATTCAACGTAAGATAAATAATATTTTTATTTATTTTATTAATAAGATAAAATGTTAATTTCTAGAAGATTAGAATCAATATATATGGATATAACAAAAAATGTTCTACGTAGATTAGATAAAGATAAAATTCCATTTGGATTATTATCTTCTATTTATCCAGGTTTTGTTTTATTTTTATTTATTATATTTATATTATTAATAAATATTAATATTATAGAAGAAAAAAAATCAAATCAATCAATAATATTAATTAATTCTGTAAGCAATTGTTTTGAAATTTTAATACAATGTCATGAAACTCTCAATCATCAATATGATTTAAGGTTTTATTTATTTTAAATATTTAATAAATTAAATTTAAAAATAAGTTTTTTGTTTTTTAATTTATAGTTCAAGTGATTCTGATAGTGATCCAGAAGGTGGTGAATTACCTGATATAGGATATACAAAAGAAAAATCAATAACTAAAAAAAAATCAAAAAAAAAAAAAAATGATAAATCAAATGAAGAACGTCTTCAAAAATTAAATCATAAACATCACGTAAATATTTTCAATTATATTTATTAAATATTTATATTTTTACTAATTTAATCCATAACATATTCATATACATAGATTAATCGTTCAAAATCTATGAAATCATCTAAATTGGTGAGAATTTTTCTTGTTCAATCGTCTGTTGTTTTTTATTCTTATTCATTGATATAATATAATATGAAATAATATTTTCATTAGGCAAATAATGAGTATTATAATCAGCATCAAATATGCGTATCGTATCCATTTACATCAGATATTGATATTAATTCACAACTAAAACTTACGTTTGCTGATGATCAGGTTCAAAACAAAAACAAAAAATGTTTTTTTTTTTTAAATAACAATATCACATATATTTATAGCACATACATTTATATCATATATATATATATACATACACGTTTTTTTTTGTTCGTTAAGGGTACTCCTACTCCCTTTGTTAGCATTTCTGAAAAATTGAAAATTTAAACAACAAATAGATCTTAATGAGTAGAGTAAGATTTGTCATAGACGGAAAATTTATGGATGTTATTTTCTATGAAATAATACAATCACAATGACCAAAATCGATTTCAATTTTTGCTTCTGTTTTTTCGCGATAATATTTTCGATTAAGCTGAAAATACTTTTACAGACACAAAACATTTGTTTAAATAAACATTTTTTAAAATAGTTTTTCTCGTTAGAATAAAAAGAAAAAATCAAAGGTATTCTAATAAATAAATGATTTTCTTAAGAGATATGTTTTATTGTATGAAATATTCAATATATGAAGAGAAAAAGATTTAAGAAAAAACAAAAAACAAAAACAAAATTTATATAATACAGTGTATATAGTATATGTGAAAAAATATTCAGTTCAATAGAAAATATAACCATGGAAAAACAAACCTCTATCTGCAGTCACTTTTTTTTTTTTTCAATAAAAAAATTCGTTTGAGAAAAATTTGAAATGTAATGTACAGTTTTTCGTTATTTTCGTTAAGAAATGCTGAATAAATAGTCAGTAGATAGATATTTATTTAGATTATAGAATAATTCGAATAAATAAAAAAATAAAAATAAAAATTTGAGATGATAAAAGGGTAAAGAAGGGATGAGGAGATGTACCATTAAACAATTTATTTTTCTTATGTTTATTTAATCTATTAAATATTATTTTTATTTAGATGGATAAATCAAGTCGAATCATACAAGAACGAAATTGTTTATTTACAAGTAAATATTCAAAACGAAATGGACATGGATTACCTATTTTTACAACTGAACGTGCATTAGAACGTAAACATCAGGTTAGATTATTCAATTATTACAGTATATTATATATTTAGGAAATTATTTTAAATATTAATCTTTATCTATATAGATATTTATTTATTAATTTACATAAATACACTACTTGACAAAAGTATTTCCCCCCTCCCCCCCCCCCCCCCCCCCGCCTCGGATCTCAGTCCATACAAGAGCTGAGCGAGTGAAAATTGGTGTGCAGGCAGCACATGAATAATGTAGGTCAGCGGCACCATCTACACCACATTTGCTCGAGTAAGAATGGAGTTCTAATGAATGTCATTGGTATGCATTATGAACTTGATAACTCGAGAATGGTAAGATATTTTGAGTCGGCCAACCTCTCATTTTGCAGTCCTACCTAGTAGCTATTTGCATTAAAAATTTCATTAAAGTTCATCTATCCATTG